ACCGAAAAACCTTTCAGGGTTTCGTTTGCAACAGTTTGGCACGATTTTTGAGTGAATTCCAGAACGTCAGATTTTTGCTGAAATTGTGACCGCTCGGCTTAGGGATTTTTTTTAAAAAAAAGTTGTTTAGACGTCTAGGGCTAATTCTGTTTCCGATGAGAAAAACCCATCTGTTTCCACCGAAAAACCTTTCAGGGGATTATTTGCAACAGTTTGGCCCATTTTTGAATGAATTCCAATTTGTCAGATTTTTGCTGAAATTGTGACCGCGCGGCATAGGGATTTTTTTAAAAAAATATTTTTCCGCAATTTCAGACATCGAGGGCTAATTCTGTTTCCGATGAGAAAAATCCATCTGTTTCCACCCAAAAACCTTTCAGGGTATCGTTTGCAACAGTTTGGCACCATTTTTGAGTGAATTCCAGAACGTCAGATTTTTGCTGAAATTGTGACTGCGCGGCTTAGGGATTTTTTCAAAAAAAAAGTTGTTTAGACGTCAAGGGCTAATTCTGTTTCTGATGATAGAAACCCATCTGTTTCCACCGAAAAACATTTCAGGGGTTCGTTTGCAACAGATTGTTACCATTTTTGAGGGCATTGCAAAACGTTAGATTTTTACTGAAATTGTGACCGCGCGGCTTAGGGATTTTTTCAATAAAAAGTTGTTCAGAGGTCGAAGGCTAATTCTGTTTCCGAAGAAAAAAACCCATCTGTTTCCACCGAAAAACCTTTCAGGGGATTGTTTGCAACAGTTTGGCAACATTTTTGAGTGAATTCCAGAACGTCAGATTTTTGCTGAAATTGTGACCGCGCGGCTTAGGGATTTTTTTAAAAAAATTATTTTTCCGCAATTTCAGACGTCGAGGGCTAATTCCGTTTCCGCTGATAAAAATCCATCTGTTTCCACCGAAAAACCTTTCAGGGGTTCGTTTGCAACAGTTTGGCACGATTTTTGAGTGAATTGCAGAACCTCAGAGTTTTGCTGAAATTGTGACCGCGCGGCTTAGGGATTTTTTCAGAAAAAGTTGTTCAGACGTCGTGGGCTAATTGTGTTTTCTGTGAGAAAAACCCATCTCTTTCCACCGCAAATTCTTTCAGGGGATCGTTTGCAACAGTTTGGCACCATTTTTGAGTGAATTCCAGAACGTCAGATTTTTGCTGAAATTGTGACCGTTCCGCTTAGGGATTTTTTTAAAAAAATATTTTGTCCGCAATTTCAGACGTCGAGGGCTAATTCTGTTTCCGATGAGAAAAATCCATCTGTTTCCACCCAAAAACCTTTCAGGGGATCGCTTGCAACAGTTTGGCACCATTTTTGAGTGAATTCCAGAACGTCAGATTTTTACTGAAATTGTGACGGCGCGGTTTAGGGATTTTTTCAAAAAAATATTTTTCCGCAATTTCAGACGTCAAGGGCTAATTCCGTTTCCGCTGATAAAAATCCATCTGTTTCCACTGAAAAACCTTTCAGGGGATCGTTTGCAAAAGTTTGGCACCATTTTTGAGTGAATTGCATAACGTCAGATTTTTGCTGAAATGGTGACCGCGTGGTTTAGGGATTTTTTTTAAAAAAAGTTGTTTAGACGTCGAGGGCTAATTCTGTTTCCGATGATAATAACCCATCTGTTTCCACCGAAAAACCTTTCAGGGTTTCGTTTGCAACACTTTGGCACGATTTTTGAGTGAATTGCAGAACGTCAGAGTTTTCCTGAAATTGTGACAGCGCGGCTTAGGGATTTTTTCAGAAAAAGTTGTTCAGACGTCGAAGGCTAATTGTGTTTTCCGTGAGAAAAACCCATCTGTTTCCACCGCAAATTCTTTCAGGGTATCGTTTTCAACAGTTTGACACCATTTTTGAGTGAATTCCAGAACGTCAGATTTTTACTGAAATTGTGACGGCGCGGCTTAGGGATTTTTTCAAAAAAATATTTTGTCCGCAATTTCAGACGTCGAGGGTTATTCTGTTTACGATGAGAAAAATCCATCTGTTTCCACCCAAAAACCTTTCAGGGGATCGTTTGCAACAGTTTGGCACCATTTTTGAGTGAATTCCAGAACGTCAGATATTTGCTGAAATTTTGACCGCGCAGCTTAGGGATTTTTTCAGAAAAAGTTGTTCAGACGTCGAGGGCTAATTCTGTTTCCGATGATAATAACCCATCTGTTTCCACCGAAAAACCTTTCAGGGTTTCGTTTGCAACAGTTTGGCACGATTTTTGAGTGAATTGCAGAACGTCAGAGTTTTCCTGAAATTGTGACAGCGCGGCTTAGGTATTTTTTCAGAAAAAGTTGTTCAGACTTCGAAGGCTAATTGTGTTTTCTGTGAGAAAAACCCATCTGTTTCCACCGCAAATTCTTTCAGGGGATCGTTTGCAACAGTTTGGCACCATTTTTGAGTGAATTCCAGAACGTCAGATTTTTCTGAATTTGTGACCGCTCGGCTTAGGAATTTTATTTTTAAAAAAGTTGTTCAGACGTCGAGGGCTAATTCTGTTTCCGATGAGAAAAACCCATCTGTTTCCACCAAACAGCCTTTCAGGGGATCGTTTGCAACAGTTTGGCACCATTTTTGAGTGAATTCCAGAACATCAGATTTTTGCTGAAATTGTGACTGCGCGGCTTAGAGGTTTTTTCAAAAAAAGTTGTTCAGACGTCAAGGGCTAATTCTGTTTCTGATGATAAAAACCCATCTGTTTCCACCGAAAAACATTTCAGGGGTTCGTTTGCAACAGATTGGCACCATTTTTGAGGGCATTGCAAAACGTTAGATTTTTGCTGAAATTGTGACGGCGCAGCTTAGGGATTTTTTTTAAAAAAAAATTTTTCCGCAATTTCAGACGTCGAGGGCTAATTCCATTTCCGCTGATAAAAATCCATCTGTTTACACCGAAATTCCTTTCAGGGGATCGTTTGCAACAGTTTGACACGATTTTTGAGTGAATTGCAGAACGTCAGAGTTTTGCTGAAATTGTGACAGCGCGGCTTAGGGATTTTTTTCAGAAAAAGTTGTTCAGACGTCGAGGGCTAATTGTGTTTTCTGTGAGAAAAACCCATCTGTTTCCACCGCAAATTCTCTCAGGGGATCGTTTGCAACAGTTTGACACCATTTTTTGAGTGAATTCCAGAACGTCAGATTTTTGCTGAAATTGTGACGGCGCAGCTTAGGGATTTTTTCAAAAAAATATTTTTCCGCAATTTCAGACGTCGAGGGCTAATTTCGTTTCCGCTGATAAAATCCATCTTTTTCCACAGAAAAACCTTTCAGGGGATCGTTTGCAACAGTTTGGCACGATTTTTGAGTGAATTGCAGAACGTCAGAGTTTTGCTGAAATTGTGATCGCGCGTCTTAGGGATTTTTTCAGAAAAAGTTGTTCAGACGTCGAGGGCTAATTCTGTTTCCGATGAGAAAAACCCATCTTTTTCCACCGAAAAACCTTTCAGGGGATCGTTTGCAACAGTTTGGCACCATTTTGGAGTGAATTCCAGAACGTCAGATTTTTGCTGAAATTGTGACCGCACGGCATAGTGATTTTTTTAAAAAAATATTTTTCCGCAATTTCAGACGTCGAGGGCTAATTCTGTTTCCGATGAGAATAATCCATCTGTTTCTACCCAAAAACCTTTCAGGGGATCGTTTGCAACAGTTTGGCACCATTTTTGAGTGAATTCCAGAACGTCAGAGTTTTGCTGAAATTGTGACGGCGCGGCTTAGGGATTTTTTCAATAAAAAGTTGTTCAGAGGTCGAAGGCTAATTCTGTTTCCGAAGAAAAAAACCCATCTGTTTCCACCGAAAAACCTTTCAGGGGATTGTTTGCAACAGTTTGGCCACATTTTTGAGTGAATTCCAGAACGTCAGAGTTTTGCTGAAATTGTGACGGCGCGGCTTAGGGATTTTTTCAGAAAAAGTTGTTCAGACGTCGAGGGCTAATTGTGTTTTCTGTGAGAAAAACCCATCTGTTTCCACCGCAAATTCTTTCAGGGGATCGTTTGCAACAGTTTGACACCATTTTTGAGTGAATTCCAGAACGTCAGATTTTTACTGAAATTGTGACGGCGCGGCTTAGGGATTTTTTCAAAAAAATATTTTTCCGCAATTTCAGACGTCGAGGGCTAATTCCGTTTCCGCTGATAAAAATCCACCTGTTTCCACCGAAAAACCTTTCAGGGGATCGTTTGCAACAGTTTGGCACGATTTTTGAGTGAATTGCACAACGTCAGAGTTTTGCTGAAATTGTGATCGCGCGGCTTAGGGATTTTTTCAGAAAAAGTTGTTCAGACGTCGAGGGCTAATTCTGTTTCCGATGAGAAAAACCCATCTGTTTCCACCGAAAAAGCTTTCAGGGGATCGTTTGTAGGAAAATGGTTGTTTGTACCTACATGACAAGATGGATGCCAGGATGGGAATTTACTATAGTTTGACCTTTTGATACTGCAGGCTGTGTTAGGCATGATGAGCGCGTGATCGCCTCATGCAAGGAAGGTGATTGGTTCTTATTGTATGGCTTGATAATGGGGTGATCCCCATATTTGGTGTTTGCCTTGCATGATGATTGATACACTGTTGTACTGTTCTTAATAAAAATGCTGGGCTGCAGCTCCAGAGAGCTTCTTTCTCTCTCTCTCCTGAGGCTGCTAGACCCTTTACAAAAAGCATCCTGGTGTGAGACTGATTTATTTTTGTGACGAGCAGGCCCTCATCATCCCTGCCCTCGTCATTTGGTGCCCCGTGTGACTACCCTCGGACTCTTCGTTGTTTCTCATCGTTCAGCGCTCGCCACGCGTCTTTCATCCGCTTCGGATCCCGGTGAGCGCTCCCTTTCCTTTGGACTTCGACTGATTTCGGACTTCGCGTCGCTGCGGCCTTCTCAGCGTCCACCACGCCCGGCCAGGGCTTCAGGTACCGCTCATCCTCTCCTAGGATCCCGGTGGGTGCTCCCTTTTTTCGCTCCTTTTCATCCTTTGTGGATCCCTGTGATTTTTTTTCACTACTCTTGCTATCATGGGGCAGTCTCTTTCAGCGCCACAAAAGAAGTTTTTTGATGAACTTAAATTTCTTCTGGCCAGTAACAACCTTGCTGTTTCGGATGCCGATCTTAAGGCACTTCTTCTAGCTTTGGACACTCATTGCCCCTGGTTTCCTCAGGATGGCACTTTGGATTTAAAAGACTGGGAGAAAATAGGACATTTTTTCCATAACCATCCTCAAATTAATGTCAAGGTTCTGCTTGCATGGTTTAAAGTTTATAAAGCGATGTCCTGCCTGACACCAGCTAATATCCTTTTGGCTTCTTCGCCTGCTGCTTTGCCTCTTCCCTCTCCAATTTTATGCCAACCGTTGCCTTCTTCGAAACCACCAGTTTATGTACCTCCTAAACCACCGGATCTCTCTCCTTCGGTTCCTACTGTCCTGCCACCGCCTCCCTCTGCCCCTCCTCCAGCTTTTTCACCAGGGGTGCCCAACGTTGCTACCACTCCTCTTCAAGAGTCTCTCCGTGCCGCTGCTCCATTGCTGGCTTTTGATTCTGCCACACCAAATCTTTTTCCTGTAATTGTTCCTGCCGCCGTGGGGGGAGGCCCAGCCCGCCACGAACAGTTTGATTTAAGATTCATAAAGGAACTGTATTCCTCTGTCAGGGACAATGGCTTACATTCTCCTTATACCCTGGGACTTTTTGGCACTATTTTTCAGCAAAATCTAATACCAGAGGATGTAAAATTATTAGCCCGCACTGTTATGCAGCCTCATCAAATGATTTTGTTTATACAAGCTTGGCATTGGGCTTGCCAACGTCGCGTTGATGGCATTCGCAACAATCTCAACAATGCTGCGCAGGCAGCTCACCAAGCCGCGATTGCCGCCGCTGGCGCTCCACCTCCAGCCCCTGTTATGTTGACCCATACTGATGTTTTTGACGGCCTGACAGGTGGGGGCAATTTTCTTACCATCGCCCAGCAGCTAGCCCTTGATCCCATGTATTGGGAAGCCACTACCGCTGCCGCTCAGGAGGCCCTGTCCGCTGTGCCTGATGAAAAGACTGAGCGTGATGGACGTTGGGGCAGCGTCCGGCAAGGCCCTGCAGAGCCTTATGGACAATTTGTCGATCGCTTGTATAACACCCTCAAGCGGCAAGTTCAGGACGTCGCAGCCCAAGAAGTGATTGTCCGCCAGCTTGCGTTTGATAATGCAAATGAGGACTGTAAGCAAGCACTGCGCCCTTTGATGACAACGCCAAATATTGCCATTGCAGATATGCTTAAGGCCTGCCAGTCAGTGGGCACTGAGACGCACAAAGCCCGTCTGTTAGCCGCAGCTCTATCCTCTACAGTATCCCAGAATCCTGCCAAGGACAAAACTTGTTTTGGTTGCGGAAAAATGGGACATTTTCGTGCGCAGTGCAGATCCATCACGCAGCAATGCCGCCCTAGCACAAAGTGCCCTATTTGTAAGAAAGGCTTTCACTGGGCTAACCAGTGCCGTTTTGCCGTGCCTCGACAAAGTCAACAACAACAACAAAAACAGCAACATCAACAAAACCAACTGACGGGAAACCGGCAGTCGGGCCCACCCCGGGCCCAGGCACGACAATAGGGGATTCAGCATGTTCTCCGGTCATTCCACCGCCGGCACTACCTCACCTTTCTCTAACCCAGGACTTATGCCTGCCAGTCCCCTATGTACCACAACAGGCTCAAGTGTCAACAGGGGCTGGTTTTTCTTCTTCAGCACAGTGCCTTGTCTTCCCACTGTCAGAGGTTTTGCAGCAAGGGGTCCATCTTGTTCCAGATGTGTTACATGGATTACAACACAATGACCCTTATGTGACTGTCTTTTCTGATCGCCCTACGCATTTGCCGTCTGGTTCTCCTATTGCCAAGATTGTGTGCGCTCCGGAGACGATCCAGAACCATGATCCTCTTGTTGCCGCTACTTTTTCAGTCACAGAGGAGCGCCCAAAGATCCAGATGACCCTTGGAGGCCGCATGATTGAAGGGGTTTTGGACACGGGGGCGGATTGTTCCGTGATCGCCTCCAAGGATTGGCCTCCTGCTTGGCCCACCGAACCAGCTTCTTCTGTTGTCGGCGTTGGAGGCTCTGCCTCGGCCCGCCGCAGCAGGAATCCTATTTTGATTCAAGGCTCTCAAGGCTTTGAAATGACTATTTTGCCACTGATCCTGGACATTCCTGTCTCCCTTTGGGGGCGAGATCTGCTTGCTGCAGCGGATACCACCATTTCTACAAATTTATGCTAAGGGCTGCCCCTGCCATGCCCCGGACTGCGCTTTCTCTCTGCTGGACCACAGACACCCCCGTGTGGGTAGACCAATGGCCCTTGCCTAAAGAAAAGCTTGCAGTGGCAGCCCAGTTAATTTCAGAACAACTTGAACTGGGGCACATTGAACCTTCCACCAGCCCGTGGAATACGCCCATCTTTGTCATCAGAAAAAAGGCATCTGGAAAATTCCGTCTTCTCCAAGACCTTCGAAGGGTTAATGAACAAATGCAACCGATGGGGACCTTGCAACCCGGCATTCCTAATCCCAACATGCTACCACAAAACCATCAGCTTGCTGTCATCGATCTCAAAGACTGCTTTTTCTCTATCCCTCTGGCACCACAAGACAGACAGCGTTTTGCCTTTACCCTGCCTGTCCTGAACAACTCCCAACCTACCCAGCGCTTTCAATGGGTGGTTCTCCCACAGGGAATGCGAAATTCTCCAACTTTGTGCCAGTATTTTGTGGATAAGGCACTTCAACCATTCCGTGAGCGCCACCCTGTGGTCACCTGTTATCATTACATGGATGATATTTTACTTTCCTCATCGCACATTTCTGATATTCTTCTCGAGGATTTGACCCATGCTCTGATGCAAGCAGGATTGACAGTGGCTAAAGAAAAGATCCAGCGGACCCTGCCTATTACGTATTTAGGACATAAGTTGTCTGCTGCTGCTGCCATTCCAGTTGCGCCTCAACTACAGTTCCCTGATCATCTTAAATTGGTGGACTTGCAACAACTCCTTGGACAGTTAAATTGGATAAAGAGTTACTTGGACCTGCCCACCTCCACTCTGTCTCCACTATTTTCTGCCCTTAAAGGCCACAAGGATCCAGCAAGCAAGATCACAGTTACCCCTGCTATGGAAGAGGCTTTGACAACTGTGAACAACCATCTCCGCAGATGTATGGTGGACAGGATCCCTTCCCTTTCCATGGCACAATTATCTCTTGCAGTGTTTGCCACCCCACTCCTTCCAACAGCTATATTGTACACCACAGGCCAGAAGCCTGGGACTGTGTCTATTGTGGAGTGGCTTCACCTGCCTCATACTCCTCCGCGTAATGTGTATGCTACACCCAACAGCGTCATGGACCTTGTTGTCAGGGGCCGACATCGGGCCCTTGCCCTCTCTGGAATGGACTTACAGTCAGTGTACTTGCCCTTCTCCCAGGAAGAATTCATGCATTTAATGATGACAGCCGTTCCTACTCAAATAGCTTTTGCTGATTTCTTAGGAAAAATTATTCACAATCCCCCTAGAGACCCTCGTTTGTCTTTCCTTACAGGGCTACGTTATGTCCTGCGAACTGCCTTGTCCCCTCTACCCTTACCCTCCGCTCTCACTGTATTCACCGATGGCACTAAGTCCAGGGGGGTGGTGGTGTGGGATGAGGAGGGGAAATGGAAAAGTTTATATACTACTGAGCAATCCTCAGCACAACGTGCTGAATTGGCAGCTGTAATTTTAGCTTTCCAACAATTTGCTGATATCCCTTTCAATCTCATTGTGGATACGCAGTATGTGTATAATCTGTTGAATGTGTTACCATTGTCGTATATTACTCCTGCCATTGATGATAATTTGTTTGCATTATTCTCCACTTTGCAGAGCTTGGTACAAGCTAGGACTTGTCAGTTTTATGTAGCACACCTTAGATCACATACTGGTCACCCTGGCTATTTGGCAGAAGGTAACGACCGGGCAGATCAAGCTTTGAAGAATGGCATCTTTTCTTTATTTTCTGACCCATTCGAGAGTCATTCAGTGTTTCATCAAAATGCTAAGGTGTTAGCTAAATCCTTTTCATTACCAATTTCTCAAGCTAGGGACATTGTGTCACAGTGCGCTGTGTGTTCCAAATCACCCACAGTCATTCCTTATGATGCAGTCAACCCTAGAGGCTTGCATCCCCTGGCAATTTGGCAAATGGATGTCACCTACACGCCATCTTTGGCTCCATTTTCTAAAGTACATCTCACTGTGGACACTGCCTCTGGTTTTATTTGGGCCACGCCCTTGAAAGGAGAGACTACTCGTCATGTTATTCAACATTTAATGCGTTGTTTTGCTGTTATGGGAAAACCCCATACTTTGAAAACTGACAATGGCCCTGCATATATTTCTCAGGCCTTTTCTGATTTTTGTTCTTTGTGGGATGTTAGGTTGACTCATGGTATTCCATTCAATTCTACAGGACAAGCAATCGTCGAGCGCTCCCACTTGACTTTTAAGACTCTTCTCAACAAGCAATTGGGAGGCCGCTCGGCTACTGTTTCTGAAATACCTAATATTGTGCATCAAGTATTGTTTACCTTAAATCATTTGTTGTACCCTCACAATAAGGATTTTACGCCTGCTGAACTTCATTTCAGGAAAGAAGAAGTACTGCAGCGCCCTCTAGTGTCTTACAGGTTGCTTCCAGATCCACAGTGGAAGGGTCCAACTTCATTGCTTTCCTGGGGTCGTGGATTCGCTGCCATTGACGTGGACGGAGAAACACGATGGGTTCCAGCTCGGTGCGTTCGACCTTGGCGCTCTTCTGTTGCCTCGTCTTCGCCCAAGGAGACACCAACGCCTTGAAATCATATTCTACGCTGTCTGCCAGTGATGACCTCCCACCTGACTTCAACCCGCGTTGCAGTTGGAGACATCGCCATATTGATGCACCCTGGATAAAGTCGCCTTCTACAGCTGTTCCGGTGTTTCCTGGCACGTCGAAAGGTCATCTTCGTCCCTACCTCATTGACCCCCCTTCCCCTGGGAAGTCACCATGACTACCAATTACCCTCCGTGGACACTGTGAAGCGCCGCTCTCGTCGTGCTGCTCTTTTGCAGAAGGCTCGTAAGCCTGAACTTTATCATCAGATTTGGACCAACAATACATATGTTAGGGACATAAATAATTTTGCTTCTATACTTAATCTTTCCGAATGTTGGGTGTGTATGCATATTCCTCCTCAATCAAAAAGATCTGGCATATTATTGCATGGTATTCCTGTAAATGCTTCATATAAGATTAGTAATAATATGAAAGATAATCGTACTAGTTCACCCCCTGTGTTTTTGTCGCTTGTAGAAACAGCGTCTCATTGTTTTCATTTCAATCGTAATAGTAGTAAATTTTTAGGTCATTATCCATATTGTAATTGGACCTATGAGTATGTTAATGGATCTTCTTGTTTTCTTAATGTTACCACTATGAGTGGTAGGCCAAAAGTTTTAGTTAATAATGTCACGACCAACATGACTTATGAACAACAGGCTATGTGTAGAGATTTTTATGTTTGGTTTGATTGGATGAAGAAAAGCAGCAAATCTACATGTTTGCTTCGATCTGATTTATGGTTATTTTGTGGTACTAGAGCCTACAAAGAAATCCCCTTTGCCTTTTCTGGAACGTGCACCTTAGGAATAGTCATACCCCTGGTCTATAAACTGGACAAGCTCCCAGTGGTTCGTTTGCGTAACAAAAGGGAAGTGCGATCACCTATCTCTCAATATACAGGGACAGCCGTCTCTAGATCTCTCCTGCCCTCTTTAGGTGCAGGCATGAATTACCGTGATTTGCACAAATTGGCTAATTGGACTGAAGCCTTGTTTAATTCTACTATCTTGGCCTTAAAATTAATTAACAAAGAAATGTCAGAAATGAGAGATGTGACTCTTGAAAATCGTTATGCTTTAGATGTAATCCTTGCTTCCAAAGGTGGAGTTTGTGCTTTAATTCATTCCCATTGTTGTATGTATATATCTGATCAATCGGCCAATATTTCTGCTACTATTGATTATATGGAACAAATGATAGCCCATAATCCTTTGAATCCTCCCGAAGGTTTTGATCCATGGGAATGGTTGTCTTCCTGGTTGCCTAATAGAGTGTGGTTAAGGAAAATTTTACTAATTGTAATTTTGCTTGTTGCAGGATTTATTGTGTTGTGTTGCTGCATTCAATGCCTACCCTCTTTGTTTGCTCAATGTAGTACCTGGTGGTATCGTCCAAGACCTACCACTGGAGTCACAAGAGGAATTTACATTGCAAGATATCAGCGTTTAGGAAATGAAACAAATGATTCTGATTAGGTTTTGTTAAATTTTATTTTTTACTTTTCATAAAACAAATAAGAAAAGAGGGCATGTAGGAAAATGGTTGTTTGTACCTACATGACAAGATGGATGCCAGGATGGGAATTTACTATAGTTTGACCTTTTGATACTGCAGGCTGTGTTAGGCATGATGAGCGCGTGATCGCCTCATGCAAGGAAGGTGATTGGTTCTTATTGTATGGCTTGATAATGGGGTGATCCCCATATTTGGTGTTTGCCTTGCATGATGATTGATACACTGTTGTACTGTTCTTAATAAAAATGCTGGGCTGCAGCTCCAGAGAGCTTCTTTTTCTCTCTCTCTCCTGAGGCTGCTAGACCCTTTGCAAAAAAGCATCCTGGTGTGAGACTGATTTATTTTTGTGACGAGCAGGCCCTCGTCATCCCTGCCCTCGTCAATCGTTTGCAACAGTTTGGCCCCATTTTTGAGTGAATTCCAAAATGTCAGATTCTGCTGAAATTTTGACCGCGTGGCTTAGGGATTTTTTCAGAAAAAGTTGTTCAGACGTCGAGGGCTAATTCTGTTTCCGATGAGAAAAACCCATCTGTTTCCACCGAAAAACCTTTCAGGGGATCGTTTGCAACAGTTTGGCACCATTTTGGAGTGAATTCCAGAACGTGAGATTTTTGCTGAAATTGTGACCGCGCGGCTTAGGGATTTTTCCAGAAAAAGTTGTTCAGACGTCGAGGGCTAATTCTGTTTCCAATGAGAGAAATCCATCTGTTTCCACCCAAAAACCTTTCAGGGGATCGTTTGCAACAGTTTGGCACCATTTTTGAGTGAATTCCAGAACGTCAGATTTTTGCTGATATTGTGACTGCGCGGCTAAGGGATTTTTTCAGAAAAAGTTGTTCAGACGTCGATGGCTAGTTCTGTTTCCGATGATAAAAATCCATCTGTTTCCACCGAAAAAACTTTCAGGGGATCGTTTGCAACAGTTTGGCACCATTTTTGAGTGAATTCCAGAACGTCAGATTTTTGCTGAAATGGTGACCGCGTGGCTTAGGGATTTTTTTTTTTTAAAAGTTGTTTAGACGTCTAGGGCTAATTCTGTTTCCGATGAGAAAAACCCATCTGTTTCCACCGAAAAACCTTTCAGGGGATTATTTGAAACTGTTTGGCCCCATTTTTGAGTGAATTCCAAATTGTCAGGTTTTTGCTGAAATTGTGACCGCGCGGCTTAGGGATTTTTTTCAGAAAAAGTTGTACAGACGTCGAGGGCTAATTCTGTTTACGATGAGAAAAACTCATCTGTTTCCACCGAAAAACCTTTCAGGGGATCGCTGCAACAGTTTGGCACCATTTTGGAGTGAATTCCAGAACGTGAGATTTTTGCTGAAATTCTGACCGCGCGGCTAAGGGATTTATCCAGAAAAAGTTGTTCAGACGTCGAGGCCTAATTCTATTTCCGATGAGAAAAACCCATCTGTTTCAACCGAAAAACCTTTCAGGGGATCGTTTGCAACAGTTTGGCACCATTTTTGAGTAAATTCCAGAACGTGAGATTTTTGCTGAAATTGTGACCGCGCGGCTTAGGGATTTTTTCAGAAAAAGTTGTTCAGACGTCGAGGGCTAATTCTGTTTCCGGTGAGAAAAACCAATCTTTTTCCACCGAAAAACCTTTCAGGGGATCGTTTGCAACAGTGTGGCACCATTTTTGAGTGAATTCCAGAACGTGAGATTTTTGCTGAAATTGTGACCGCGCGGCTTAGGGATTTTTTCAGAAAAAGTTGTTCAGACGTCGAGGCCTAATTCTGTTTCCGATGATAATAATCCATCTGTTTCCACCGAAAAATCTTTCAGGGGTTCGTTTGCAACAGTTTGGCACCATTTTTGAGTGAATTCGAGAACGTCAGATTTTTGCTGAAATTGTGACCGCGCGGCTTAGGGATTTTTTCAGAAAAAGTTGTTCAGACGTCGAGGCCTAATTCTGTTTCCGATGATAAAAATCCATCTGTCTCCACCGAAAAACCTTTCAGGTGATCGTTTGCAACAGTTTGGCACCATTTTTGAGTGAATTCCAGAACGTCACATTTTTGCTGAAATTGTGACCGCGCGGCTTAGGGATTTTTTCAAAAAAATATTTTTTCCGCAATTTCAGACGTCGAGGGCTAATTCTGTTTCCGATGATAATAATCCATCTGTTTCCACCGAAAAACCTTTCAGGGGTTCGTTTGCAGCAGTTTGGCACCATTTTTGAGTGAATTCCAGAACGTCAGATTTTTGCTGAAATTGTGACTGCGCGGCTTAGGGATTTTTTCAGAAAAGGTTGTTCAGACGTCGAGGGCTAATTCTGTTACCGATGATAAAAATCCATCTGTTTCCACCGAAAAACCTTTCAGGGGATCGTTTGCAACAGTTTGGCACCATTTTTGAGTGATTTCCAGAACGTCAGATTTTTGCTGAAATTGTGACCGCGCGGCTTAGGGATTTTTTCAGAAAAAGTTGTTCAGACGTCGCGGGCTAATTCTGTTTCCGGTGAGAAAAACCAATCTTTTCCCACCGAAATACCTTTCAGGGAATCTTTTGCAACAGTGTGGCACCATTTTTGAGTGAATTCTAGAACGTGAGATTTTTGCTTAAATTGTGACCACGCGGCTTAGGGATTTTTCCAGAAAAAGTTTTTCAGACGTTGAGGCCTAATTCTGTTTCCGATGAGAAAAACCCATCTGTTTCCACTGAAAAACCTTTCAGGGGATCGTTTGCAACAGTTTGGCACCATTTTTGAGTGAATTCGAGAACGTCAGATTTTTGTTGAAATTGTGACCGCGCGGCTTAGGGATTTTTTCAGAAAAAGTTGTTCAGACGTTGAGGCCTAATTCTGTTTCCGATGATAAAAATCCATCTGTTTCCACCGAAAAACCTTTCAGGTGATCGTTTACAACAGTTTGGCACCATTTTTGAGTGAATTCCAGAACGTCACATTTTTGCTGAAATTGTGACCGCGCGGCTTAGGGATTTTTTCAGAAAAGGTTGTTCAGACGTCGAGGGCTAATTCTGTTTCCGATGATAAAAATTCATCTGTTTCCACCGAAAAACCTTTCAGGGAATCGTGTGCAACAGTTTGGCACCATTTTTGAGTGAAATACAGAACGTCAGAGTTTTGCTGATATTGTGACCGCGCGAGGTATTTTTTCAGAAAAAGTTGTTCAGACGTAGAGGCCTAATTCTGTTTCCGATGATAAAAATCCATCTGTTTCCACCGAAAAGTCTTTCAGGGGTTCGTTTGCAACAGTTTGGCACCATTTTTGAGTGAATTCGAGAACGTCAGATTTTTGTTGAAATTGTGACCGCGCGGCTTAGGGATTTTTTAAGCAAAAGTTGTTCAGATGTCGAGGCCTAATTCCCTGTCCGATGATAAAACTCCATCTGTTTCCACCGAAAAACCTTTCAGGGGATCGTTTGCAACAGTTTGGCACCATTTTTGAGTGAATTCCAGAACGTCACATTTTTGCTGAAATTGTGACCGCGCGGCTTAGGGATTTTTTCAGAAAAAGTTGTTCAGACGTCGAGGCCTAATTCTGTTTCCGATGATAATAATCCATCTGTTTCCACCGAAAAATCTTTCAGGGGTTCGTTTGCAACAGTTTGGCACCATTTTTGAGTGAATTCCAGAACGTCACATTTTTGCTGAAATTGTGACCGCGCGGCTTAGGGATTTTTTCAAAAAAATATTTTTCCGCAATTTCAGACGTCGAGGGCTAATTCTGTTTCCGATGATAATAATCCATCTGTTTCCACCGAAAAATCTTTCAGGGGTTCGTTTGCAACAGTTTGGCACCATTTTTGAGTGAATTCGAGAACGTCAGATTTTTGTTGAAATTGTGACCGCGCAGCTTAGGGATTTTTTCAGAAAAGGTTGTTCAGACGTCGAGGGCTAATTCTGTTACCGATGATAAAAATCCATCTGTTTCCACCGAAAAACCTTTCAGGGGATCGTTTGCAACAGTTTGGCACCATTCTGCAGAGGATTCCAGAACGTCAGATTTTTGCTGAAATTGTGACCGCGCGAGGTATTTTTTCAGAAAAAGTTGTTCAGACCTCGAGGCCTAATTCTGTTTCCGATGATAAAAATCCATCTGTTTCCACCGAAAAACCTTTCAGGTGATCGTTTGCAACAGTTTGGCACCATTTTTGAGTGAATTCGAGAACGTCAGATTTTTGTTGAAATTGTGACCGCGCAGCTTAGGGATTTTTTCAGAAAAGGTTGTTCAGACGTCGAGGGCTAATTCTGTTACCGATGATAAAAATCCATCTGTTTCCACCGAAAAACCTTTCAGGGGATCGTTTGCAACAGTTTGGCACCATTTTTGAGTGAATTCCAGAACGTCAGAGTTTTGCTGAAATTGTGACCGCGCGAGGTATTTTTCAGAAAAAGTTGTTCAGACGTCGAGGCCTAATTCTGTTTCCGATGATAAAATCCATCTGTTTCCACCGAAAACCTTTCAGGTGATCGTTTGCAACAGTTTGGCACCATTTTTGAGTGAATTCCAGAACGTCAGATTTTTGCTGAAATTGTGACCGCGCAGCTTAGGGATTTTTTGAGAAAAGGTTGTTCAGACGTCGAGGGCTAATTCTGTTACCGATGATAAAAATCCATCTGTTTCCACCGAAAAACCTTTCAGGGGATCGTTTGCAACAGTTTGGCACCATTTTTGAGTGAATTCCAGAACGTCAGAGTTTTGCTGAAATTGTGACCGCGCGAGGTATTTTTTCAGAAAAAGTTGTTCAGACGTCGAGGCCTAATTCTGTTTCCGATGATAAAAATCCATCTGTTTCCACCGAAAAACCTTTGAGGGGATCGTTTGCAACAATTTGGCACCATTTTTGAGTGAATTCTAGAACGTCAGATTTTTGTTGAAATTGTGACCGCGCGGCTTAGGGATTTTTTCAGAAAAAGTTCTTCAGACGTCGAGGGCTAATTCTGTTTCCGGTGAGAAAAACCAATCTTTTTCCACCGAAAAACCTTTCAGGGGATCGTTTGCAACAGTGTGGCACCATTTTTGAGTGAATTCCAGAACGTGAGATTTTTGCTGAAATTGTGACCGCGCGGCTTAGGGATTTTTTCTGAAAAAGTTGTTCAGACGTCGAGGGCTAATTCTGTTTCCGATGATAATAATCCATCTGTTTCCACCGAAAAACCTTTCAGGGTTCGTTTGCAGCAGTTTGGCACCATTTTTGAGTGAATTCCAGAACGTCAGATTTTTGCTGAAATTGTGAGCGCGGCTTAGGGATTTTTTCAGAAAAAGTTGTTCAGACGTCGAGGGCTAATTCTGTTTCCGATGATAATAATCCATCTGTTTCCACCGAAAAACCTTTCCGGGGTTCGTTTGCAGCAGTTTGGCACCATTTTTGAGTGAATTCGAGAACGTCAGATTTTTGTTGAAATTGTGAGCG